CAGGAGACCCTAAGAGGCCCTCTGGGGGGCCCCCGAGAGAGCCCCAAGAGGCCCCAAGAGGGCTTCAAGAGGTCTCCAAGAAGTCCCTGGGACGCCCCCAAGAGGCCCCTAAACTGCCCCGCAGAAGCCTCCGAGAGCCCTCTCGAGAGACCCCAGGAAGCGTCCATGAGGACTCCGTCCGACCCAAAACCCAAGCACGGTGGCGGGATGGGGCGACGGCTATTTGATAGCTGGCATACGCGCCGCGTCACGACTTTCGATGCTGCGCACCTCTTCGAAAAAACTCCCAGGGAGCGGCCGGTGATGCGCCGCCGGCGCCCTCGATTTGTCGCCGAAATTGCCGCCGAAATCGCAGCCCCCAGACCGCCCAAGAGGCCTCCGGGACGGCCCAAGAGGGGCCCCAGGATGGCCCCGAGAGGAGGCCCAGAAGGGGAATAATGAACATTTCGAGCTTTCGGCTCAAGAGGCACCCAGGAGGCCCTAAGAGGCCCCCTGCTGCAGGCCCCCAACAAACCCCAAGAGAGCCCCAGGAAGCCCCAAGAGGGCCCCAAGAGGTCTCCAAGAAGCCCCTGGGACGCCCCCCAGGAGGCCCCTGGAGCGTCGCGACGTTCGATGCTGCGCACCACTTCGACAAACTCCCAGGGAGCGGCCGGTGATGCGCCGCCGGCGTCCCTGATTTGTCGCCGAAATTGCCGCCGAAATCGCAGCCGAAATCGCCGCCAAAATCGCCGCCAAAATTGCCGCCGACGTCTCCGCCGAAATCCTTGATTGCGCTGCCGAAAAGAGGCCGAAATTGATTTTGGCTGCGACTGCGACTCAATGCCAGCGTGCTTAATGAGATGACGGGAAGGGTCCAGTTCGGCTCGGTTCGGTTAGGTTCGGGTCCGGTTCTGTTCGGTTCGGCGTCGGAATGTTCCGGTTCGGTTCGGTTCGTCGTTGTCAGCGGGGCCGTCCGGCTCGGCCCAGTTCGCCGCGCGCTTCGCTCTGGGCCCGCCCGGTTCGCTGCGGCGAGGGGGGGGCAGGACAGGGGGGAGCTGGACAAGGATTGGGCGCGCCGGGGGGGGGGGCGCCGATGGGGGCGGGGCGTTGGGGGGTGCCGGGGGGGAGTGCCCGGGGGAGGGGCCGGGGGGGGGCCGGGGGGCGGGGCCGGGGGGGCGCGCCGGAGTCGCCGACCCGCGCCCGACCCCGCCTCCCACGCATCCGCCTCCGCGCCGCGATGGGCTCGGACGCAGCCTCCTCCATGGGCGCGGCGTCCTCCGGCGGTCCTGCCCCCAGCGAAGATTGCTGGACTGGCGGGGCCGCTGCAGCAGCCGCTCCGATTGCGACGAGCGCGAGGAGACCGAGGACACCGCCGCGGCGGCCGAGGGCGCCGCCACGGAGGCCGCAGGAGCTGGCCACAGCCAGCAATGCTGCGCCGATCCGCGCGGAGCGCAGGCGCAGCGCCGCGCGGAAGCGCCGCCCTGACGCATGGCGGCGCGACCGCCTGGGGCACTACAGGGACAACGCGTGCCGCTATTGGTCATGCCATTTGCGCAAATGGATCTACGTCGACGAGAACGATTGCGAGTGCATCTGGATTGGCCCAGACACTACGCGTACGATCGGCCAGTTAGACTACCGTGGCAATCGGATTTGTAATGATGCATACTACGATTTCAGCAGGTTTCGTTACTTTGAATACCGTGGTTCTGATATCCGCAACGGCTTCGCCCCCTGCCGCCGACCCTCTCCCTCGGATTATTGGCAATGCAAAGAACGAAATATTGAAACCCTGGCGCCGTCGTGAAGAAGCGCCAGGACTTCGCGCGAAGACGATGAGTAATCGGCAAGACACATGGAGATTCTGATGTCATCGTCGAGTTCGGCGTTGCACGTCGAGTTTACTCGCGCATGCTGCGCAAAAGCTTTGTTTTTTGTTTTTGCAGTATTGCCATGTTGCGCATCCCATTGGTGGTTCGACCCTGGACCCACCGATCTGCGTGAAAGGCGCCACCTAAGTTCAAGACGCGTGGCAGATCCCATGTGTTTTTCGACAGTGAACCCGCCGATTTGCGTGAGGAGTGCTACCGGATTTCAGCAAGATCCCATTGGTTTTTGGACCCTGATTCCGCCGATCTGCGTGCGAGGTGCCGCCGGATTTCAGAAATGCGGCAATTCCCATGTAATTGTTGGACCCTGGCCCCGCCGATCTGCTTGTGGGGTGCGACCGAATTTAAAGATATGGCAACTCCAGTTAATTTTTCGACCCTGATCCCGTCGATCTACGTTGAGGGGCGCCGGTGATTTTCATAAGTGTGGCACGTCCCATGCGTTGTTCGACCGTGCCCCCGCCGATCTGCGTGAGAGGCGCCGCCGACACCCAGGAATGTGGTAAATCCCATGCGTTTGTGGGCCCTGACCCTGCTTATCTGCAAAAGAAGAGCCGCCGGATTTTATAGGTGTGGCAAACCCCATGGGTCTTTGGACCACCCCGCCGATCTGCGTGAGGGGTGCCACCGAAGTTCAGACATGTGGCAAACCCCGTGTGTTTTTGGACCGTGACCCCGCCGAGTTGCGCGAGGGGTGTCAATTTCGACCCCCCCGGAAATTTTGATACCCCTCCCGGGAGGTGCTGACCAGGGCGGTTTTCGCCCCCCCCCCCCCCCCCCCCCCCCTCCTCGCGCGGTCGACCCCCTCGCGCGGTCGACCACAAAAAACGGAATTGTAACAGTGGAAATTGGAAGTGGCGCAGGGAACAGCGCGCCCTGGCCCTACAGCCTGGTGGCCCCGCAAAGGGGCCGGCGGATTATTACGTATTTTTTTTTTCTCTTTGGCATTCGTACAGCATGTCTTGAGACGTTCATGCGACGCCACGTCGTTAAACGCATTACGGCATTACGGGCATAAGCGCACCCTGGCAGGTAACCTGCCATTGCTACATGCTCTCTTCTGCGACATCGAGGGCATGAACGCGCCCAGGCAGGTCGCCCGCCGCCAATACTTTCGCGCCATAAGTTCCCGTTTTTCCATGGGAAGTCGGAAGCACAGAGCACGACATACGCACATCTATTTTGAGGCCTGAAGTGCCTCGCGCAAAAAGTTCTACCATTACTCATATGATCCGTTGTCGTAACAGCTTCGATCACATGCGATATCATCGATCATTGGTCGCAGCAATTTCGATATGAATACCCGTTTAAATCCGGGCCCGGAAAGCCGTGTGAGTGATGTTTCTTTCTACATGATCAGTTGTCGTCGCAATTTTGTCTCAATGCTGTTATATTGCAGTCGCTTTGCGCGCGTTTTTTTTGCGCGCCGGCGCAAACGCCCGCGCCCATGCTATTGACGCGGAACTGTTTTCCATTTGTTTTGCTGTCCCTTGCTCTCCCAGCCTCGTCGCCCGTGGTGGCGGGGGGCCGCGCGGGAGTGCCGAGGCGTTTCGGGGGGCGCACCGCGGGCCCGCTAATGGCGGGTAGGTTCCGTTGAGTACCCTGCGCAGCGGGGCTGGCCCCCATTCCTCGCTTTCGTAGCCGAGACGGCCTCGTTTGGACGAGCGGCGGACATGATGGTGCATTGAGTGGACCTCGCACCTCTGTTCCCGAGCCTCGCCTTCGTCCCCCGCGGGCCCGAGGCCGGCGTGGAACGTGCGAGATTCGCGGCGGGGGGCGCGCGTGAAGTCCGCTCATATCACATTTCTATATTAATATATAACGCCGACGTTTCGGCCCAGGTGCTGGCATCAGGTGCAGCGCCGCCCGTCCGCGGCGCATGGACAAAGGGTTCGCGACCTTCCCCTTTGCCTTCCTACCTACAGGAAGTCTGGTAGGTTCGACCCTTCGGTCGTCAACCTGCACGCGCATGACATACCAGAGCAAAACCGGACATATCACAATACGACATAACACAACCTACCATACCATAGCAACGTGTCGCATAACACAGATTGGATGACCATTTCATATCATGTCGTGACAGCATCACTCAGCGTAGCACGACAGCAAATCTCAGTGAAACGTAGTAGCAAAGCGTATTCCGATACATTGTACTGATCCAAGCCGGCAACCGCATCACATAACAAAACATAGCATAACATGTCATATCAGAGTGTCGCGGATCGTATCATACCATTTTTATGTATTTTATATTATGATACGTGTGGTTATACCATAACATATTCATCCAGAAGAGAAACACGTGAAAGGGGAACGTCACAACAAACGAAACATATGAAGTCACAAGCGTCACGACGTCATGCCAGCCCGTCGAGAACATAACATGACATACCAGAGCAATCCATCACAACAAGCGTGACTACATGGAACACGGTAAAGCCGTTTTTTTGTTGAATCCAAAAACGGCAGTCGTCGACCAAATAGGCGACCGTGCGCCAGGGGGAACAAATCCTTAGAGTTCCGGCGGGGGGCGCCCAACGCAAAATCAGTTGTTTTTTTGGGGGCCGGCCCGGGTCGAATGTATTTCATGTTTTACATATTTTTTCTGATTAGCTGGTGGTAGCATTCATGCTTGGCTCTCTTGGGCTCTCCAGGGGATTCCTGGGGTATCCAGCTGCCTTTTCCATGCCCTCCCCTGCCCACTGCGCGTCCCCACTTGCCTTCCTCTTCTTCCCCTCCCCGTTACATTCTCCCTGTGCCTGATTTCGGCAGCGAGCGAGGGGGGATGTGAAAAAGAAACAGTTTTTTTTTGGTTCAGAAGGCGGCATGGCTTCTCAGAAACCTTCTAGCCGTCTGAGAAGTCTCATGTGTCTTCGGGGAAGGTTTCGCGAAAGTATCAGAAAGCCGGGGAACTTCCGAGCCTTCCCGGACGGTCCGTTCGTGCTCACTTCCCCCGCCCAGCTGGCCTCCCTCTCCCTCCCTGTGTACCTCGCCCCCTCCGCCTACACTCACATTGTAAGAAAAACTGGTGCCGCAGTCACATTCGACACAGTCAGGCTTTCAACGACACGTGTCCTGGCGCTGGCGTTATTGCGTGAGGGGCGCAAGTTTTTAGGGTAGCCCGCCCAGGACGATCTCGACGACCAGGACGAAGAGCAGGACCCGCGTTGCGAAAACGCCGCTTTAGGATGATGAGGAAGAGGAAGGTCCGGAAGAGGATGAGGATAAGGACCAGTGTAAACCCAAGATTCATCAACGATTTTAAGCCCTGCCTCCAAGCGTCCTCGTCATAGACCCCTACAGTGGCTCATTTCCGCTTAGGAAAGTACCCCGTCGGGAGACAACCGTTGGAATATCCTGAAGCGTGCCAAAACATTATCTTCGGAACTTCAACGCCACAACTAATCTTGACAGTTGCGTCTTGCGGGACCTGAACCGTGCCAGAACACAGCCCATGTGTTTTCACCATTGCGAATCAACGTATATAATTGTTGCGCCCTGGGAATTCTGAATCGTTCCAAACGCCATTTCTGGTAAGCTGACGGTGGGAACACGTGATACTCTTGCATTTTCTGAAACATGTGCGCAGCACTAAGGCGAAGGCCGTTTTTCAAAAGAGGAGCCGCCCTCAATCCGCGAAGCTCTAGCCATGTTTGTAGACGAATTCGCGCGGCGCTAAGGCGATAGCCACATCTTGAAGATTGCCAGCCCTCAATCCATGAATCTTTTGCACGTTTGAATATGATGGTGCGCGGCGCTAATGCTAAAGCCACATTTTGAAAACCGCCCGCCCTCAATCCGTGACGCTTTTGGATTTGTTTAAGAGCGTGGTGCTAAGACGAGAGCCACATTTTGCAATCGGCCCGCCCTCCATATGTGAATGGTGAGGAAATATCAGGCGAAGCACTTGTTGAGCCCTTCCGACTGGCCTCGATTGCGGTAAGGCGGGGTTATTGATAAGGTAAAAGGACCTCACATCTTGTTTGGGGAGGGGAGAGGGAAGAGGAGCAGGATAAGGAGAAAGAGGAGGGGGAGGATGGATGAGGGAGGGTGAGACTCACGAGTCGGATAGGGAAGGAAGGGAACCTAAAGCAGGAAGAGTAGAAATAAGAGGAGGAGGAGGAGAGTTCCAGCATAACGCCGACGAAAAACATGGGAAGGTAGAGGAGGACCACCACGATGATTAGGATTTGGCACAAGCGTGACGGCGCGCGCGCGCTCGTCCGCGACACGACCAATCGGTAGATGCTTCTTGGCCTTTTGCGCTGCAACAGGAGCGGGAGTCGGCGTAATGATGAGGATGAGAATGGCGATGCTGCTGCTTATGCTGATAATTCGGGTGGTGGTGAAGATGAGGAGGATATGGATCGGATGAGAAGGATGAGGAAGTTGGAGGAACAGTTGCTTCGGAACTGCTTCCAGGCTTCATCGAACCTGCCCGTTGGCCGCGCCAAGCCATAATCGGTGCTGGACGGTGACTCGGCGTGGAATTCTGGACAAACGGGATGAGACGGAGGAAAAGGCTGCCCAATGGCTACCCTATCGATACACCGTGCCGCCTTGATGGCAGCTATGGAGCAGGAAGCGTTTTCGGGGGAGACTTTCGTTGATACAGCACGGGGAGCATCGCAGAGGCTCCCAGACAATGAGGCAGCCTGTGATCAACATATTGCTCCTTGTGAACCTTGACGGGAACAAGGCGTTCCTCAAGGGCTCCGCGCAGAAGGAACTTGCCGCGGTTGCTGGTGACCACGAGCGGTCGGTGCGCTTCGCCGTGCCATCAGGCTGCGCGGCAGTGCTGAAGACTCCCCCAGGCGTTGAGGATTTGAAAAAATCCAAGCGTTGTCTCAAGCACCGTTCTCCTGGGACTGGCACCAAGGATGCTCCGCGTGTTTTCCCTTGAGGCCCTCACGATAAGTGCGCACACAAAGAGCATCAGTTTTTATTTAATCGCTTCGCTCATTCCGCCGGCCCTCGAGCGCTCTATGGGGCCTCTTTGAAGCCTCTTTGGGGCCTCTTTGGGGCCTCCTAGGCCTCTTGGGGGCCTCTTGGGGGTCTCTTGGGGCTTCTTGGCGGCGTCTTGGGGCCCCCTTGGGCCTCTTCGGGGGCTCTTGGGGGCCTCTTGGGGCGGGGTAGTCGAGTGCACCTCCCTCGGAGGCCACGATCCTCGTGAGGGGTGTCGAAAAACGGCCCTCAAAACCATCTCTGAGTAGACCTGCTCGGGCTGCGGTCGGGATACTTTTCGCCGGGGGACCCCCAGGGGCCGCCCCGCGCGCTCGAACTAGAAATATTGTTAACCAGTTACCTGAGATCTTAGCACGCCTCTGGCCCGTTGGGCCGGCGAATTCCAACTCGGTATATGTCTCTTTGTTCGGGATGGCCAACGATCTCCTCACTGCTACGCACGTCGATGACAGGCTTGGCTGGCAAGGGGGGGCGATGTCGATAGTTGCGTCAACCACGTCGACAATGTTTGTGGAAAGTGCGATGTCAATAAGCATCATTGCTCGGATTGTGTTTGGCGGCGTACCAAACATGGCAGGTACATGAACCAGTTTCACTTGTATGCTATCCAGATATCGCAGGAACCCTTCCAGACGATGGTGCAATACAGATCGTTTCAGACATTTCTATCTGCCTTCGAGGGGTCGTTGCTTCATGCTGCGGTTGCCCAACATTCGGGATCATGGCACACGTAGTAGCAATGCTGCGCATCCAGGGGCCGACCCATATCCACGCGAGGTGGCTCCAAGTGATTACTCGTAGGCTTCTGCAGTGTCCCAATAGATCATCGACTAGGCGACGACTTGCGGCGGGGCCCTCCGCATCGACCCATGCAGTGCCCAGCGCACTGCAGAAACCTTTGTTGCTTCTCGCGGTCTCGATGGGTGCTTCGATTGCTCTCTGAACTCCTGCGTGGGGCTATGTGGCCATCTGGCCTTAGAAGAATTCGCATGCGGGGCAGCCCGCGTGCCCGCGTGTCCTTCACCTTTGATGCTGGGTGCGTTTGCGGACCCTCGGAGCCCGAACGCTAACGGACACTCGAATCGGGAGATCTCAGGACGGGGCCCCGCGCCCGAACTGCGGTCGAGCGCTGCTGTCGCGGCTCTCTGAAGCCCGAGGCCTTGCACTTGCAGCAGAGGTTTCACACGTGTAGGGGGGTCGAGTCAAGGCGCGGCCCCCGCCGATGCCCGCGTCGGGCGATCCCAGCCGAGCCCGCGGGACAGGCGCGCCAGCGGGGTCTGCCGCGGGCAGCCGGATGCGAGGGGGAAGCCGGCGCGAGGGGAACGGGGGAAAAAAGGGGGGGTCAGGGGCGGGGCGCAAGAGGGGGGAGTGAAGGAAGAAGACAAGAACATAGTTCTTGCAACCGCGCTTCCGCCGGCATCCGATCGCTGGCGAAGCCGCCGCGGTTTTGCTTCCGCCGTTTCGGCTGGGCCCTTCCGGGGGCGAGACGCAGGCCCGACTGGCCCCCGGGGCCGCGCCCGATTCCGAGCGCCCGCGCTGCGGGGGAGCTCGCGGCGCCGACGGGGCGGCGCCGGGAGGGGCAAGGACGGCTGCGGGGGGCGAACTGGCACTGGCGACCGCGGCCAGTCTTCTCGTGGTCCTCCCCCCCCGGGACCAGGGCCTCCGCCCCCCGCCGCCCCGTCGTCGCCCTCCCTCTCCTCGCCCGCCTCCTCGGCCCCCCCTTTTCCTGCGCGGCGCCCGCCGGGGCCTGCCATTGTCATGCCCGATCCTGCTTCTGGAAGGAAGGCGGCGGCTGATTCGCGGGAGGCGGGGCGGGGGGCGACGAACGAAGCGGGGGGCGCTTGGCGGTGCTGGAGTGGAGGTGAGAGGGTCAGCTTTTCAAACAGGAGCGGCATTGCGTCTGGATGTTTTAATGCATGCGAACGAAACGGCTTGCTGCGCGCTGATGCCACTCGACCGCGCGGCGCCCGCGAATCATCCGCGGCGGCAGCGGCTTGCAACGCGCGCTGAATGCAGCCGGCCGCATTCGAAGAGGCCACGGGGCATCTGAAAAGAACCGGCGAACATGACGGCAGGGTTCTCGCGCCTCCCCACGCGCCCTGTCCCGCCCCCCCCTGGCCCAGCGGGCGCGGGCGCGCGCTTGTCCGCGGGGCCCGCGAACGCGCGCCACCGTGGACACCCTCACCACCTCGCACCCCCAGGAAAGGAAAGAAGACGGGGAAGGCGGAGGTGGGGGAGGAAGGGAGGTGTTCGGAGGTGGTAGTGGCGGTGGTGGTGGTGCCGTCGTGGTGGCGGTGGCGCATAGTCTTGGAGCCTGCGCGTTCTGTGCAATCTCGGGCGCGAGTCAGCTGGCCAATAATGCGCAGTGACGCCGGCGCGCGCGCACTTCGGGCACGGCGCGCTGGGCTGGTTGCCCAAAGCTTTGCAAGCAGCCTGAGAGTGCTTGACCACAGCTCGCGAATTGCGCAGACAGTGGCGGCAATACGTATTCATGATGGTGCCAATGGCCCTGTGGTCTGGCTCACTGCCTTGGAATTTCGCGCCTATGTACTCCCACGTGGAAGTGGGGTTCTGGCGGCCCATCATGCCAGACAGCTCAGACAGCGTGGCATTCATCACCTGCGCTTTCTCGGTGGTCTTGCCCTGCTGGGCCCGCCCTTCTCCCCGGCCCTTCTGCGCGCCCGGGGAGCCGCCGGCGCCGCCGCTGGCCGCGGCCGAGCAATTCGACGCAGCCCTCCGCCGCGCGGAACTTCTTGCCAGCCGGCCCGCCAGAGCTGTTCCCCGGGCGTTCCGGAACGACGGCGGTCAGGGCGGGGCCTGCAGGCGCAAGGATGAAGGGCGCAACGGCTAGACTGGAGAGGCCGATGTTCCAATCGAGCAGGAAGTCAGATTTGGGCGCGGCCAAATCCAAAGGCGCTCTCGCGCTGGCCTTCTTGGCCCGGCGCTTGATCGACTTGATCGCGGCGACTAGGGCGGCGTGATCTCGTCCCTCTGGGCCTTCATCTTCCCAGGCGACGATCCCTTCGCGGTGGCTGGGTTAACGGTCTGACTCTCCAGAATCAAGAACAGGTGCAGGCATTTGCGCGCCAGAGCGGCCGCGGCACTGGCGCTCCAGGCTGCCATGTCGGACATGGAAGAGCGAAAGTTGTCGGGGCTGCCGCCGTGGGGCGACAGGCAAAGAGCTTTCCAGGAAGTCTTTGGCGCGTTCTTCAATTTGGCTGCGTTCTTCAACTGCCGGGCCTCAGGACTGTCCAGGTTGTTGCGCGCCGCGGCCACGGTGCTGGCGACTGCGGGGGTCGGCCGTGACATCTGCTGCGTTTTGCAGCCAATGATTGTCGATGTTCACTTTGCGCCACCCCAGCGCGAGCTCTGCGGGGTCACAGTCCCCGAGGTACTTGCGCCAGGGGAACTTCTCGCCAAGGTCGGCTTCTTCCTTCGCGAGGGAGGCAACTGCGGCGGAGACAGCCTGAATGCCGTCGTTCTTCTCCGCGGCCCTGAGCTCCGCGAGCAGGCTGGCGGCAGATATCGCCGCGCTGAGTGGCGACTCGGGCGCCGAAAACATTGTCTGGATGCGCTCGCCGACCCCCTCCTTGACGGTGGTTTGGGACGTCTCTGCAAGGGGCCCGTTCGGAAGGATGGTTGCCTTAAACCACGTGCGCGGCCTCCTCTCCGAACATGTTTGGAGTGACAGAAGTCATTGCAGGGCGCGGATTGCCTGCCTGCTCGTCGCTGCAACTGCCTTGGGCCTCGAGCTGAAGAGCGGCGGCTGATCGCAGGCGCAGGTTGATGAAAGCAGCATAATTGGCAGATCAGTAACTGGGGCCTTGCGCCACGTCGCAGACGAGCCCTCGCTCCGCCTCTGGCCCGCCTGGCACTGCGCCGCCAACGACGCAAAACGGCCGCCCAGAACCGCGGCGCGCCTGGGCCCTCCAGCAGCAGCAGAAGAAAGGCACCGTCACCGACCTGATCGGAACAAGGGCTCCAGCCAAGGCTGAGCACGAGCAGCTACAGCGCGCGGAGGGTGGGCCCAGGCTCTGCGAGCGGTGAAAGTGGCTTCGAAGACAGTGTGCTCACGGAAGAACCAGGCGGCTGCTTGAGCACCAATACCAGCGCGGTCTGCGAACATATCGAAATCGAGAAGGCCGAATAGCAGAATGCCTCAGACTTGCAGAATGCTTCAGAACAGCGTCGCGATAGGGATCATCGTCCCGCTTGGTGGCAAACGAGGAATCCCGCGACCCTTCGTCGCTGGCAACATTCTGTGTTCCAGGCAAATGTACGGCCATGCGCCAGCATCCTGCTTTCCGTTCTGCCAGTTCGAAGGCATCTGCGAGATCCTGCAGGGAAGGAGCGCGACCGAATCTGAATTCGATGTTGTCAAATGCAGCTGAATTGTCGCACGTGAAAACGACGCGCCACCCGCGAAGCCACTCGCTGTCTTGTAGAACAATTTGCTTGGCGACACAGAGCTCTTTGTAGCTGGTTGCGTCTGAATTCTCGCGAACAAAGTAAATTCTTCTGGCCAGACGCCGGCGCGGACACGGGATTAGTCTGGTGTTTGAGACTGCAGGATATGTGCGGCGGGAGTGGGGACTCCTGGATTTGCCCATATTGGCTCTGCATCCGCGAGGCTCGAGCCAGCAGTGGTTGCCCCCATCCACCCCGCGTTGTTCCCAATGCCCGCTTTCGGCCGATGGGCCTGGCGAGCGCGACGAAAGTGCGCGCAGCCAACGGGCTGCCGCGCCGTGCTTGCGCGTGCCCAGCTGAAGCACGCGCCACGGAGTCTGGCTCGTGGCCGCGGGGTCAAAACCATCATCGTTGTCATTTTCCCCGTCTTCGTCCCCTTCCCTCTCCCCCTTCCTTCCCTCCAGCGCATGCGTGCCAGCGCGTAACCACACTGGATGATCGCAACACACAAACACACGTCAGCACCGTAATGCCATGCTTTTTGGCGGCTTGCCCCTAATGCAGCCCACGGTTTTTTTTCTTCAGCCCACAAGCGGCCCGTGGCCGCAGAAAATAGCGGGCAACATTCCCGCGCGAGTTTTTCGAGCCTGCCGACATCTTGGGAAAACCCCAGGTCGGCGATCGACGTTTTATATCTGTCCGTGTTGCTGCGTTTTATTTTTGGACGGCAGTAGGTCGGGCATGGATAAATAGATGGTTTCCAGGGGTCGGATTCATATATATATATATATATATATATATATCTCTGTGTGTAAAAATGTATATATATATAGATATAGATGTGTTTCCATTTTGGCCCCTCGTCGGGTTGTGGCGTGAGCCCGTGCGCGGATGCAATGTTGATCGTCTACCACGGTCCCGGATTTCCCGAGGAGGTGCGCTGCGCTTCCGCGAGAAGACTCGCTGGGAGGATCTGCTGTTGCTGCCAAAGGCGCCCCCGCGGATGGCAAGTGTGGGCGAGCGTAGGGTTCAGCGACTCAGTTTCTCGAATCTTGTATGTCCTTGCAATTCCGTTTTTTGTGCGTTTTAGAGTACGCTACAATTTGGTGGTCAATGAGAAAGCGTCGATTCAGCGCAGATTAGCGTCGATGTAGCGTTGATTTAGCATCGCGCATCGACTAGCGTCGTCTAGCATCCGATGCGACAGCCAGCAAGATGGCATGGGAGCCTAGCGTGAGTTGCTACAGAAGTGTCGGGGAAGGGCGGGGGGGAGATTCACGTGTCCAGGTGCCTACCGGGACTTCCAAAGGCTTTTGGGGTCGGAGCCTTTGAGACGGGTCACTGCAAACGGGGGTTAGCCAGGGCACCGGATCTTGCAGGATCCTGCGAAGACCTTCTCTGGCTGAATTGGGTTAGCGAGCGGCCCGTGGCCGCGAGGCGGCCGCGCAGATTGGCTGACCCGGGTTGGCGAAGCCCGGCGTTGCAGTTTTTTGTTTCCTGTGTTACAGTTTTTAGGTTTCCTGCTGACCCGGGCAGGGTCGCGCAGCCTCGGCGAGGCGGCGACATTGGCGCGGACGTTGAAGGTTGAACGCCTTCCAGGGCCCCTTTCGGGCCCCAGGACCCACAAATCCCATCGCTCAAAATCCAAACGGAAGCCGGCGTGAACAGCCTCCAGCTTCCCGAGAGCGAGGGCCGTTCAAGATTGAGCAGTTCTAGTGGTGTCAGAGATCGGGGCTGAGGATCTGAGCGTGTATCCAGCTGCCTGCGGCGAGTGCCGCACAGAGGGCAATGTTAGGAGGGGCGACCAGCGGCTACAGCATGTGGTCCGAGTGGCGTTCAAGGTGCAGAGCGCGTGGACAGTTGCAGTGCTGGTCAGACCGCCGTCAAATCCTGAATTTCGGAAGTCTCGAGTTGGTCCTGGATCATCAAAGGCCGTGTCGGGGCGGAGTCGGAGAACATCATTAATTGATGATGAGGGGTAGGATGAGGAGGAGCATTTTGGCGGACGACTGCGATGTGGAGCGTCGTGATGGTGATCATGTTGAAGAGGAGCTCCTTCGGGGCTGTCTTGAGGCTGTCTTGGGCTCCTTTGGGGTCCCTTGCCGTCTTGGGTTCGGAGGCCGTCCTGGCCTCTCGGGCCAGCTTGGGGCTGCCATGGGCCATCTTGAGGTCGTCTTCGAAGCTAGGCCATTGCGGGGCCGTCTCGGGCTGCCTTGAGGCTATCCTGGAGGCGTCTGGGTGTCAGAAGACATGCTTCTTGATATCTTCTTAGAGCTTTCTCGAAGGACCCCCCAAGGCGGCCCAAGAAGCAACATCAATGAACACACCTTGATTACCCAGTTCTGTTGTTCAAATTTATGCGTCTCCATCCTCAAAGCACTGACCTCGCACGCGCCTTCGAATCGATGTGCATATCTGTACATACAGGTACAGATAACATGTGAGAAACCGTAGTTGTTTCCAGTGCTTGGGGGGGGAGGGTCACTTGTGTACGGACAGCTCAACATCGGTGTAGAGCGCTTTAGTGCTTCAACAGTTGTGTCTCCGGTCTGAGGTCTTATAGAGGCATCTGCTCGAGTTAGTATTCCTTCTTATCCGTACGAGTCCCGAGCCCGCCTACATAAAGCAGTTGGGATCCCCTAGGTTGCACTGGCCGTTGGGGTTCCTCATCCACCTTTTTCCCCAACGATCCTGTGATGTTGGGTCTTCGTTTTGAAGAGACAGCGCCCCGCGTCCCTCCTCTTCTCCTCTCCTCTCCTCTCCTCTCCTCTCCTCTCCTCTCCTCTCCTCTCCTCTCCTCTCCTATCCATTCCTCCCCCTCCTCCTCACCCTCCTTCCTCCTCCCATCCGCCTCGTCACCATCATGTGGTGTTCGGTCCTCGTTTTGAAGAGACAGCGCCCCGCGTCACTCCTCTCCTCTCCTCCTCCTCCCCTCCTTCCTCCTCCCATCCGCCTCGTCACCTCCCTGCGTTTCGCCCACCCAGGACAGCGCTTCGTGGCCCCATGTGGAGCTCCACCGAAGGCTCCAGTGGCAGGGTCCGCATGCGTCAGCGCCTCCCAGGACAACGTTTCGTGGGCCCACAGGGAGCTCCGCCGAGAGCTCCAGAGGCGGGTCCCGCATGCGTCAACGCCACCCAGAACAGCGCTTCGTGGCCCCATAAGGAGCTCCACCGAAGGCTCCAATGGCAGGCTCCACGTGCGTCGACGCCACCCAGGACAGCGCTTCGTGGCCCCATAGGGAGCTCCACCGAAGGCTCCAATGTCAGGGTCCGCATGCGCCACCGCCACCCAGGACAGCGTTTCGTGGCCCCACAGGGAGCTTCACCGAAGTCTCCACAGGCAGGGTCAGGACAGCGCTTCGTGGTCCCATAGGGAGCTCCACCGAAGGCTCCAGTGGCAGGGTCAGGAAAGCGTTTCGTGGTCCCATAGGGAGCTCCACCGAAGGCTCCAGAGGCAGGGTCCGCATGCGCCATAGCCACCAGGGAGCTCCACCGAAGGCTCCAGTGGCAGGGTCCGCATGCGTCAATGCCACCCAGGACAGCGCTTCGTGGCTCCATACATATGGAGCTCCACCGAAGGCTCCAATGGCAGGCTCCGCATGCGCCAACGCCACCCAGGAACGCGCTTCGTGGCCCCTCAGGGAGCTTCACCGAAGACTCCAGTGGCAGGGTCCGCATGCGTCAACGCCACCCAGGACAGCGTTTCGTGGCCCCATAGGGAGCTCCACCGAAGGCTCCAATGGCAGGCTCCACGTGCGTCAACGCCATACAGGACAGAAATTCGTGGCCCCATCGGGAGCTCCGCCGAAGGCTCCAGTGGCAGGGTCCGCATGCGTCAACGCCACCCAGGACAGCGTTTCGTGGCCTCATAGGGAGCTCCACCGAAGGCTCCAATGGCAGGCTCCACGTGCGTCAACGCCATACAGGACAGAAATTCGTGGGCCCACAGGGAGCTCCACCGACGGTTGTCGTGGCAGGGTCCGCATGCGTCAACGCCACCCATGTAGGCACACCCCTCACACGGTTCGTGGCCCCACAGGGGACTCCACCGACGGTGCCAGTTGCAGGGTCCACATGCGTCAACGTTACCCAGGGCAGCGTTTCGTGGCCCCATAAGGGGCTCCACCGAAGGTTCCAGTGGCACCGGTCGCGCGCGTCTTCACCGCCCAGGACAGAGAGCTCCACCGAAGGCCCCAGCGGCACCGTTCGCATGCGTCCCCCCCACCTAGGACAGCGTTTCGTGGTCCCACCGGAGGCTCCAGTGGCGCCGTTCGCATGCGCCTCCCCCACCGAGGACAGCGTTTCGCGGCCCTATAGGGAGCTCCACCGAAGGCGGCAGTGGCGCAGTTCGCATGCGTCTCCCCCACTCATGACAGCGTTTCGTGACCACAGAAGGAGCTCCAACGAAGGTCCCAATGGCGCAGTTTGCATGCGTCTCCCTCGTCCAGGATAACATTGCGTGGCCCCACAGGGAGCTCCACCGAAGGCCCCGGTGGCGGTGTCCGCATGCGCCCGCGCCACCGATTTCGGCGCACCCCTCGCATGCTTCGTGGCCCCATGTGGAGCTCCACCGAACGCGTTACCCACAATGCGGCACTCGCAGCTGCATATGGTTGGGTCTCTTGTCCGGATAATTGTTTCTATCATATTTTAGCATTTTTTCCCAAACATCCTGTGGTGTTGGGTCTTCGTTTTGAAGCGACGTCGCCCCGCGTTCTTCTCCTCCTCTCCTCCTCCTCCTCCTCCTCCTCCTCCTCCTCTCCCTTCCTCTCTCCTCCCGTCAGCATCATCATCATCATCATCATCATCATCATCATCATCATCATCATCATCATCATCATCATCATCGTCATCATTACATCATCATCATCATCACCAGCATAAGCGTTATCATCATCATCATCATCATCATCATCATCATCATCATCATCATCATCGTAATCATCATCATCACCATCATCATCATCATCATCATCGTCGTCGTCATGATCTCATCATCATCATCATCACCATCACCATCACCATCACCATCGTCATCATCATCATCATCAGCATCATCATCATCATCAACATAATCAGCATCAGCATCATCATCATCATCATCATCATTGACATCATCATCATCATCATCATCATCATCGTCATCATCATCACGACCGTCATCACCACCAGCATCATCGCCCATGTCGGCACACCCCTCACACGTTTCGTGGCCCCATATGGAGCTCCACCGAAGGCCCCAGTGCCACCGCCCTCATGCGTCCCCCACACCCATTTCGGCACATCCCTCACACGTTTCGTGGTCCCATAGGGAACCCCACCGAAGGCCCCGTGCCACCGCCCGCATGCGTCCCCCACACATTTCGGCACACCCCTCACACGTTTCGTGGCCCCATAGGGAGCTCCACCGAAGGCCCCAGTGCCACCGCCCGCATGCGTCCCCCACACCCAGTTCGGCACACCCCTCACACATTTCGTGGCCTCATAGGGAGTCCCACCGAAGGCCCCAGTGCCACCGCCAGCATGCGTCCTCCACACCCATTTCGGCACACCCCGCACACGTTTCGTGGCCCCATAGGGAGTTCCACCGAAGGCCCCAGTGCCACCGCCCGCATGCGTCCCCCACGCCCACTTCGGCACACCCCTCACACGTTTCGTGGCCTCACAGGGAGCTCCACCGAAGGCCCCAGTGCCACCGCCCGCATGCGTCCCCCACGCCCACTTCAGCACACCCCTCACACGTTTCGTGGCCTCACAGGGAGCTCCACCGAAGGCCCCAGGGCCACCGCCCGCATGTGTCCCCCACACCTATGTCGGCACACCCCTCACACGCTTCGTGGCTCCATATGGAGCTCCACCGAAGGCCCCAGTGTCACCGCCCGCATGCGTCCCCCACACACATTCCGGCACACCCCTCACACGTTTAGTGGCCCCATAGGGAGCTCCACCGAAGGCCCCAGTGCCACCGCCCGCATGCGTCCCCCACACGCAC